ATTATGGATGTATATCTAGTGACTTCCTCATTAGAATCTCCTGGAAATTACCTAATGAGTTGCACTAATATACCTCTAAGAATGCAATTTAAAGATATAAGTGGTATAGGAGCAAATGCTTTTGGCTTTTATTTAGGACATCTATGGGCAGTAGATGCTTTTACAAAGTGGGACCAGGTTGTAGTACTTCCAATGTTAACGCTCACTGAAGAAAATGTTATAGAAAGCATACGTAGAGCATGTTTTGAGTACTTAGGAAAAGAAGTATCACCTAATATCTTCATAGAGACTTTTTTTCAAAGCGCTTTATTTGTAATAAGTGGTAGCACTAATTTTAATGCTAGGGCAAGAGCGAATCTACTAGAGTTAGAAGGTTTAGGAAGTAATATTTTAGTATTAAGTGATGCTACACAAAGATATGAATCTTTAAATTACATCAGTTTAATGATAGGGCTTAGAGCACCAGAGGGCCAATTATTATTTGATGATGGAGCTACTGTCAAAATTGATGGTTTAATGACTTTGAGTATAGAAAGAGAAGTTAGAAGTTTTTCGTTGAGATCAGATGCAGTTCCAGGCAGTATAATTGACCAGACCAATCCCTTCATGGCTATATCAGAAGAGGTTGAAGATAAAATTGGGGACAAAATTTTGCAGATGAGAGGAAGAGAGCATAGATTTTCTCATAGAGTAAAATTTGTTGTAGATTTTGAAGAACTAATTGATCAATTATATAGAAAATTGATTTTACAAGAAGAAGGTGGGGTATTTTATAAATATTTAGCAGATTCTCCCAATAGTATTAAAGATTGGTTTGCAGCTGCTGTTACTAGTCCAACTGTAGGTATTCTCACATATAATATTGCAGGAAGGTTAGTTATAAGGAACTTAAAGAACAATTATGTTTCATATGCAGGAACAGTAAAAAAGGTAAAGGATAATATTGTCGAAAAATTAGTATGCGCTATACAAGAAAAACATCAGGATGTCAGTCAAGAAGGAAAAATCCCAGAAGATAGATGGAAAGTTATAGTACAAAATCAAGTTAGTAAATGCTTAAAAGATGAGGCGCGAATAGATGTGACTTCGCATAAAAAGTCCCAGAGTGTAACTCAAGGTACATTGCTTTCTTCAGATTTAAAAAGATCAGATATTTTAACTGAAGAAGGTATGCAGGATATAGGTTATATGGATTTAGATCAAAGAATTAGGGAAAAAGGTGGTTTAAATGAAAGACTACGGGACATTTTAAAGAATCAAGTTAGTGAAGAGGATATACCTGAAGAGTTTTATATACTTTTAGCTTGCTTATTAATTGCTGAAGTTAGTAGGAATCATGCTACTTTTTTACCATCTATGATGTTGCTTGATTTATGTGAAAGGGGGGCAGAGTATGATGTTATTTCATGGGAGTGGGATACGTTAGTGTCTCAAGAATGTTTATTAGATGATTTTAATTATGATCCTCTAGAAGTTGTTTCTAGATGTTATGGAGATTTTAGGGGGATGCATCCAATGACACATGATGGCTCTTATTTCCAATCTGTAAATGTTTGTGCTACTTCATTAGAAGATCGCTCCAGTTTACTTTGCTTAGTCGAATTTAAATCTGTGAGTATTATGATGGATTGGTTGTATTTAAGTTGTAAGATAAAGCCAATGGAGGCTGCTTATAAAGAATTTTATAATGCTGAAATATGGCCAAGATACACGGGTAGATTATCAAAAACTAACGTAATTGATCCTAGTATAGATTATATGTTAGTGGAGTTTCAAAATAAAGATAGTGCAGACTTT